AAACGCTGAAACCGCTATTATTATATTATATTATATTATATTGTATTATATAGTGCAAATTGAGAGAATAACATTCTGAGTTATGCCAAGGCTATAATAGCAGCTTAGAATCTGCAATTCAAGTACACACCAAACACTGGAGCAAATTGCCTAGAGTGTGGTGACTACGACTTTACCTGTAGTATACGATACAGCTTCACACTCTAACCAGTACTCGAATTGCACCAAGCTCACAAAGTACTATGACCAATCAACATAGCTCTCCTGATGAGTAACATGATACCTGCCTAGCACCAACAGGCCGCTGAGCAAATAAGCTTTACGTATCCTTCAGCCAGCGCGCTGGTTCTTAAAATACTGCAAAAGAACATTATTGTAAAATATAACGTATTGATTAATAAAACGTGAAGTTGAAAGGATTTAAGATCGTTATTTTACAGAACAATTTTCCCTAATTTTGAGGTACGTTCAGATTGGGCAAAGACAGAATATTACGGCCTAAACCGCTCGTGATCTTTGAAGATGTAAAGTCTTGAGAACTAAATATAATAGAGATTGAGATTATAGCATTAAAATAATAGTAGAGATTGAGACTATACTCTATAGCATTAAAAAACATCCTGCGTTATTATGATTCAACCGTATACTTTATCATATATATCATATACTTAAAATAGATGTGGTGTGCAAACTTTTAAAAGTTTGGAAAAGTAGTACATGTGTACTCTTAATTTGATAGGGAATTATTAGGACGGGGTTTCTCAGTTTATCCTTACTGAAGTTTAAATTTATTAAGACGGCGGTAGAAATGTTGCAGATTATTCATACGTATATATGGGCTTATATCACAAACCCCGTATCAATTTCTAGCTGCATTTGTTCGCTTATTAGCTTATACATTAAAAATGTTAGCTTACATTTATGTTCCACTATGCACTGATGCACGACTCCCATATAACACCTCATTACATCTTGTTAGAGGAACTTGATGCAAGGTTGAATGAACTTCGAATTACAAACTCAAATGCTGAATTTAAACATAATTGAACTGTCATATATTGTTCTGCAAACTGTATTTTTTTAGTTATATTTATAGATCAATTCTGTGCAAGTGAAACTTTGCTTCGTAGATCCCGTCTCAAGTCTAGAATTAATGTTTGGCTATATCTTTTGCATTAATTTAGGTAATTATTCATTTGTTTATCAACCCTCATAACTGCAGTGGCACACAAGCCTTTGATGTCAACCAAAAGCTATCACCGCTTGGATGTTCGGTGGTGCCGTCACTGGAAATGAATGACCTCGACTAATTCCGGGACCTAGTAGTTGAATGAACTAAGAGAACAACATCTCAGATTTGCGAACTTACCGAGGCCTTTGCCCTCAGGTTTGTGCGGCCAAACCATTGCTGCCTGTCCAGACGTGAGGCGAGTGGTGAAGAACCAAGTCCTCAGAAAGCAGATAGAAGAAGAGAAGAATGACCTCGACGCATTCACGCGTGAGCGACACAAGCTTGGCAGCGTCCTAATAACTCTACGGTTTACGCGCGCCAGATTCCAGTGTAGCCGAAGATAATAAGCAAATGTTTTTCGAGTTCGTAGGGAATTCTGATTTGCAATAATTCAATGTATTTACAATATTCAGCAAATATGTCCTTTCATTAAAGCAAGCTACGTGAATTGTACTAATAGTTTACTTCTAGTTCGCTCGGTTTCAAGGCGTTTGCAGTCGAAAAATAAATGGTTTTAAAGATGTAAACATAGGCGCCATTTGTATTCAAGACAACACTTTTAATCGTACGGGAAAACTATTCGAGTGACAAGATAGGACTATGCGAGCTGAAGGAAAATTTGCGAACTAATTCATTACATTTATTTTTGAAGCTGTCGCTCACGCCAACATGTAACATAAATCTGTCATCAAATTCCAGTTTGAATGAGTTTCAAAGCTTCCATTTCGAATAATGTTTATAAGTAACTAAAATACAAATAAAATTTTCCTTTCTATTAAAAAATATCATTCCTCTCCCTCCTTCGTTTTGCAATGCCTTAGGATTTAACATCAGAAGGTAAAATTTCTAGTGCAGGTATTACCGCGTCACGATAATTCGATAATCCAGTAATTAGAAAGCAGATTAAAGCTCATATTATTTAATGGAAGAAGGAAAATCATGCTCATTTAATAATTTTTATTTAATTTTTATGATATTTTGTACATGAATATTGATTTTATAGCTTTTATTTATCATATTACTGTGTATACTATAAATTTGCGTCGTAGCTTAATAGCAAATGCAAGTTAAACCAACTAAATGACTAATCGTAAAGACATGTACTGCTGACGATCGACCATGACTAATTACGTGACACGAAAAGAAATTACAACGTACATTGAGAACGTGAGCTCTCACTAAAGTGTAAGTTGGTATATGCTTTGGAGATAGCAATATTTCAACGTGCCTCATCACTCGGTCATATGACGCATGCATGTTGCCAATAATTTTAATTTTAAACGATTATAAATTCACCATGTAAGTAATAAATTAATTTTAATTTTTAATATTATTCATATTCATATTATTATTATTATTTTTCTATTATTGTTATTATTATTATCATTTTCATTATATTATTTCTGTTAACCTGCAACTCATTATTTATGGATAATTAGTGTACCGATACAGTAGACACAAGCAGTTTCAAATTACTCATCATCTATTCATCATTAACATCATCTTTATCATTAACATAATTAATTTCATTAGAGAAACGTGATTGTATTGGTCCAATCGGTGGCCCAATCGATTCAACACGACTTTAATCTGCTTTCTAGTTCATTAAAGTTTGAAATCATCTGCATCTTGCATGGTCATATTGGCCGGCAGTGATCGTTTAAAGTCATTTTACCTTTTGGAATTGTTCCAATTTTACTGTGAATAATTTTTCAAAAATCTAAACTTTCATAGAAACTATCTTTTTCGAATCGTGCGACAATTAACCGACAACAACGTCTAAGTATATCTTTCGATTTGCTATAAACCTGTTTCTCTATTTCTTGGTTTGTATGAATGTCGTGTTAACTTAGTTTTCTTATTTTTTGCTCTATTAAATATTTTGTTAAATCTGTTGGGAAGGCGGACTTAGATTAAAGCTTACCATTTACAATTAAAATTTGTGCTTCAAAATTAAATATTAGTGCCAATAAATCAAATCGATCAATTTATTTTTCACGTGTTCTTCGCTCTAGAAGTGCGTTATTTTACTACGTTATTTTATTTTACTACGTGCAGATCACTTATCAGTTTTTGATCTAAAGTCTTCCAAAAAAGTGTCATAACTTCCAAAGCATCAAAACCTTCAACTGTTCTCCCTACTTTTCCTGTACAACTTCACACTCCTTAAATTTATTTCCACTATTTTAACAAATTATTCTTCCTTCATCAAGTGATCCTCACAATTTGCATTTAATTTTCAGGTTCGTAACGTTTTTCTTTGTACAAGTATTATTTTGATCATTTCTTATAACTGTAATTAGTTTACCCGGGCATACTGAAAAATTTATAATTTATATTTGTTTCTTACATAAAAGTATTCATTTATGCCGCTCCTGAAACTGGCACGTCTGACTATTAAAAAATGGGCTTAGGTCATAGCCAAAACATGGATTAACGAAAGCGAACAACGATTATCAAAAGATACCTCATCGAATATTCGAATGTGTCGTTGCCAGACACTAATGTCGGGATGATACATTCCTATAATTATTTCCATAGTGAATATTTTTTTACGTAGAATTCCATTCAGCTCTATTTTTAAATAGTTACTCGCATTCGCAATTCATACAGCCATTTAGTATCTTAATAGAGACGCGAAAATTCAATGCTAGTTTTATTCTTCCGGGTGTATCCTTCCACAAGGACTACTTAATTTTAGTTATTTATGTAAAACGTTTATTTTGAATCACTGGATAACTTATTTTCATTTCACATGTGCGTATTGGCCCCTAATAAACGGAAATTAGCTAGTGGTGAGTGGTTTTATTCAAATCAAACTTAATCAAATCAAAAGTCATGGATGAAATTAGAGTGAAAAACTCGCCTACTATAGGCTATAAGTCTTTTTAGCGCATTTTCTCATTTATGGAAAAAATTGAACTTTGGTGCTCGTCATGTCCGTCCGTCTGTCCGTCCGTGATTTCACGTTTTCGTCGACGAGAAAATGCGCTCTCTATCACTCACTGCAGTGAGTACTGAGTTATATTTTTTTCTATCTTAAGAATTAATGTTCCCGGAAGAAAATAATTTCTTTGATTCCCTATAGGAGCAAAATATCTCGATGATATCACACGGAAATAACTTTCAACATTTTTCCAATCCAGATGACGTTATAAATTCATATCTTAATTTGAAATTCAGTTTTTATTTCATTCTGTGTTGAATATCTAAGATAATTTATGAATGAATTCATTTAGCCATGATTTCACGTTTAATTTTGAAAGCACTTTTTTATTTTAACATTTAAACTAAATTCAACCTTCCTTTAAACTTTATTTATAATATTTATTAAAAAATGCCTAGCAAATTACGGACCAAGGCAATAAGTCCAGCAGCTATCTCAATCAATCGTCAGATATGGGAAGATCGGGTTCCAAAGGCCGGATCCCTTGTGAATCAAGTCACAAAAAGTACTAGAACTGGCAACAGGCAATATGGGCCCATTTCTTCAGTTCCGACACTTCTATTCTATATTCTATTCTAATAGCATGATGAGGGCCGGCGATGCAGTAGGCAAACTCCGGATAGTCGTAACAAGCCGTAGCCATGCTATAGAACAGTCCGTTGGCACGAGGCCTCGAAGGCGTTTTTTTACCGTCACAATTGTAGAATTTAGTACAGTTCCGATCATTAGGCTTGTAAGCGTGGAGCCAAAGGCAGCTTGGTTTACAGTTCGAAGGTATGGCCATCGGAGGGGCAGTGATTGGCAACCATGGTGCGTCGGAACTCACTGCGTGCAGGGCGTACTGAGGCCAGTCACATCGTTACATGACACTCCAGTATCTTTACCAGGATGGCATGACTTGAGGTAAGGAACACAGTGGAAGTACTTGGTGCAGCCGTGGGGGCCGGGGTACTGAGCTTCAGGGGACGGGCTTGTGGGCACAGTCAGGACCAGACGAGGTCCTGAGGAGAACCTCAGGACCTCGTCCTAGGGGAACCGAGGACCTCGTCCTAGGGGAACCGAGGACCTCGTCCTAGGGGAACCGAGGACCAGACGACTTCCAAAGATTTGGAGGCATGAAGACCTGAATTTCCTGCTTGACCACCGCAGTCATGAGAAGGTTCTGTTGTACATCAGACAGTTGCTGGGAAATCGCAGACCAACAAAGAAGGAGTAAAGTGTGAGCCTCCAGGACAGGACATACGGATAGCTTTTCCATTAGAACATTCGTAGAATTTGGTGCAGTCCTTGGGATCAGAAGACAAACCTCCAGTCACGCCGCACTCACTCATGAGCACACTGGGCGCAGACTCGAAGTGACCAGCGTGAAGCCAGATTGCAAATTTCACTTAGTATAATTAAACTCATCTATATTTTGAGTCAATTTCAATTGTTGTCTTCATGTTCAGGTGTTGGTGGTATTGACGTCTGGTAATATTTTAAATTGACGACAATAAAGTAATTAATGAACATAAAAATACCTGTGGATTCAAGAACAAAGAGGGAGACAAATGCCGTCAGATTTTTCGTCGTCAGCATCTACATGCCTGACGTAATTTTTCAACACTCGTGAGCAGAATGAAGTATCTATGTAGCTTCACTTCTGTATACATCTAGAGGACTTAACGACGAAGCTCATTATCAGTGGGATATGAATGATTTTCTTCCATACCGAAAATAAATGAAAGTAATAAAAATTATTTAAAAATATTCGAATCTATATGGTGCAATATACAAATGATAAGATTATCTTCACGTCTTCTTTGAAGTAAGTTGCGGAGAATGTTGAGTGAAATGCGAGTGGTGAATAGACATGAGACAATGAATTCTTATTCCTAACAGAATAACGGATAGAGTTAGTGAACAGTCCGCATTTTCAGCATCTCTTTTACAAGTCGGAGTATGTGAAAAAAACTATTATCAGCTAAAAATTTCCTTTGAACTCAAAATTAGTTTTATCAAAATTATTTGTACATGAAAGTCGCTATGTATATCATCTAGAGGACTTTCAGTCTATATATAACTAACTAATAGAGAATGTCACTTCGTCTCTGTTCAATTGGTGAAAGAAAGCAGTTATATCCAAATTTATGGCACAGTTAATAAAGAGTATACATAATTTTAGGGTCGAACCTCTAACGGCTAACCCTTTGTGTACTGACGGGAGCTCTTGGTCCCAGGCCTTTATTAGGGATATCATTGACGACCGTTAACAGATCCGTAAATAAAGGATAAATAAAAAGCATTGTAATTTTCAGTTTCTTTCTCACTATTATCAATCACATAATAGCGAAAATGATCTTGGCCTACGAGCGCTTAGGTGGGGCGGTCACTGCAACGCAGGGAGCGTCGGGTCCAGAAGTGCACACGAAATTTGAAGGATAATCGCAAACTCCTAATTCAGGGTTGAATTCAAGACCCTTTGAGCAAGTCCTTTTGATTGGGACGTTATTCGAACACTGGAAATAGTTGATGCAACTTCTGGGGTCAGCATATAGAGCGCTGGGGCTTGGGCATGGTGGAATGCACACATCTGGTTCTGTGGTTGTCGTGGGGGGTGTAGCAGTGGTAGTTTCCTCGATTGCAGTTGTTGGTCTTTCCGAGGTGGTATCAGAAACCTCAGTTGTTAAATCCTCAGTGGTTTTCTCAGTCTCAGTTATAGCTTCATCAGTGGTGGCATGAACCCCTGTTGTTGCTTCATCGGTGGTTGTATCAACCTCTGTTGTTGCTTCATCAGTGGTGGTATGAACCCCTGTTGTTGCTTCATCGGTGGTTGTATCAACCTCTGTTGTTGCTTCATCAGTGGTTGTATCAACCTCTGTTGTTGCTTCATCAGTGGTTGTATCAACCTCTGTTGTTGCTTCATCAGTGGTTAAATCACCAACTTCAGTTGTTGCTACATCAGTGGTTAAATCACCGACTTCAGTCGTTGCTACATCAGTGGTTGAATCACCGACTTCAGTTGTTGCTACATCAGTGGTTGTTTCTACTTCTGTAGTTGCTTCATCAGTGGTTAAATCCCCAACTTCAGTTGTTGCTACATCAATGGTTGTATCAATAACCTCTGTTGTTCCTGCACTAGTTGTTGTATCATCAGTTACTGGTTCACCGGTGTTTGTAGCGTCAACCTCTGTGGTTGCACCATCAGTTGTTGTACCATCAACTTCTGAAGTTGTTTCATCAGGAGTAGTATAGTCAACCTCAGTTGTTGCAACATCAGTGGTTGTATCATCAACCTCGGTAGTGGATATCTCAACCCACGTTGTTGTAGTTTCCTGCGATGAAGAAGGTTCCTGTGTATCTTGAGTAGTTGCAGCGTCCTGAGTTGTGACTTGTTCAAAACTAGTAGTCGTGAACTCAGCAGTGGTTTCACTCACAAATTGGGTGGTTGATTCCCAAGTAGTAGTAGTGGTAGTTGGAAGACTGGTGGTCGAAGGTACTCCGGTACAAACATAGTTGGGGTTGGCAGTACAGCCAGCGTCGATGGGTTGGTTGCACACTTCAAACTTAGGACTGTAGTACAGTCCTAGGCGACACTGTTTCAAAGTTGCTTGTTTGTTTGAGCAGGTGTAGTAGAGCGTGCAGTCCTTTGGGTGGGGGACGTTGTAGGTTCCTTCCCCACACACCGGGGCACAGGGGTCGAAGTCGTACGGCCTGCCTGAATAAGCACATGGATGAATAATATTTATATTATCGATTTCAGATTGACTATTTATTCAGATTGTCTTATTTTATTTAGATTGACCTATTCACATTTATTATTTATTCATACACTGAACTAGGTTGCAACGATTCACATATGTTGAAAGCAGCCATAATTTTACCTCTCACAATTTTTCACGGGATACAATCAACATTAGCAAATCAGGCAACTTAATGTTTGTATTGAAAGAAAGTAGGAAAATTGTTCATATGCATTATACTCTCATGAATAAATTTGTTTGTCGAATCATTAATAAATTTGTTTGTCGCACGTGTAGTGCGTGAGTGATGAACAACATTGATGAATTTTAAGTCTCTAGACATATATATGTCACAAATATTTCAAAGGCTTTGTCTCAATTCCAGCATGAAGATTTTAAAAAAGTCAATATAGAACGACGGAACACTATAATTTTCTGAACACCAAATCACATCAAGTCCGACAAAATTCGATGGCTTTAGTAAATCGAATATGATTTAATGACAACGAGAGCAAGGGGAGGATCAATATACTCGTGTGCGGCTAACTTCTATGTTCGTTCGTGTAAGTTAAGATTTAATCACTAGTTTAATGTTTAGTAACTCACCTGATGCCAGGCTGCAAATCCAGCAGAAAATTGCAAAGATTAAAATTTGTTTAACCTTCATTTTTCTTGCAATTAGAGCACTCAACCAACAGCTGTTGCTGCAGTAAAGCTCAAGATGAAGTGGGAAGATCAGCGCTATGCAGCTATCAGTCAAGGTAGAGATAGGAGGGAAGGTTACAACTCATTGCAGATATGGGTGAAAAATAAGATCAGCGTGAGAACATGGCAGTTGTTTATCGTTTTGTGATACTGAAATTGATAATGGACATATTTTTCGATGTTGGAACTTGCGTAACGATGCATTCGTCTCGTATTTCACATAGTAGGTTAAATAGCTGAATTATTGGTAAACAATTAAAAAATTATTCGATTGATAAATCGATCAATTAACATAGCATGGCATAGCATGAATCGACGCAGATGATTAGGCCGACGAGGGCCTGTCGTCAAGTCTCTTCGTCTTGTATTCAAACACAAGCTGCTAAAAGATGGCCACATTGGCCGCTAGTCCAACAATTTCGGGAAAGCGCGTTCCCTAAAAGCATCCGGTCGGATTGTACAGTGGTCGCATTCTGGCGATTCAATCCTTCACACGGCACATCTAACAACGCATAACCGAGTCCAGTCGGATCTTGAAGGCGTTCAACGTCGTCGCCTTGGCAATCTCCGCTGGCAGGCCGTTCCACCGATCAATCACGCGATGAGAGAAGTGCCGCCTCGCTGTAGTAATACATCTTTGCTTTTATATTTTAAACTGATGAGCCCTGGTGATCCCCTCTGTGTCTAGCGTGAATAAATTCTCATTACGATAATAGCCATGAGTGCATTTGTTACTCTACAAGGTTGCCACATGTTCTCCTATACATGTATGCCATCCTAGAAACCTTTATCCTCCCCAGGTTATACTCATAAGCCACATTCTTAAATCCAGGGTCGACTCGAGATGCTCTCCTCAAAACTCTTTCGACAGGTTTCCTGTCTTACTCAAGTTTGGGTAACCAGGCAACGTTGCAGAACTCAAGGTGTGGTCTAACTATTCTGTCGTCTGGGAGAACAATTACCACGTAAATTTAGTTGTGTCATTGTTAGGCCTAATACGAAACGGCAAACAAATGGAACTTTTATTTCAGAGATGACTGGTCCAAAGCTTGAGGAAGCAGTCGCATTCACAAAATATTGAGGATAGAACCAAGTCCTAAAAAATAACGCATGGTAGCGGTTCCGATACAGGCTCATCAGCGTAATACCGACGAATAAACCTGGCCCAACATAACTGTAGGAGCAAGAAGTAACTTTTAAATTTTACAATTGTGCATTACAGCAATCTTACTCCAATGTCGCAATAAGTTTCAATAAATCCATTCACAGAAGCAAAATTTTACAAACCATGGCAAACTGAAGGCTCTTTGTATCGTAGAATGTGTCGTTGAAAGTCCCCAAGAAAGATTGAATGATGTGTCCCACCAGATACGCAGTTATTCTATCGAATAAAAGGAATAAATAGCTGTAAATTAATTGGTAATCAAATTTATAAGCTAAATTAGCTCAAATGTAAGACGCACTATGTCACTTTATCAACAGCCTCGGACCCGCCTAAAAATCTTTAGCCACCAAGCGATTAAGCTGTAACTTTCAGAGGCGTGTTAAGGTTGCGATTGAGAACTGCGAGCCCTCAGGCATGTTAAGGACCATGTAAAGGGAAATTTTGGAAGTAGAAGAAGGGGCAGACTCCGAAGCAATAATAAATTCAACAGGAAGAAAAACTCTGTTCTTATCAAGGTAGGAATATATATATTGAACTTAATTTCAGTTAATAGGGCAACGGCCAAGGTGGTTATACCACAGTAAAGGGCAATGCCCCAAGACTAGGTCGGTGTCTGCCTCCTAAGTAAAGTAAGAGCGAACATGCATTTAAACTAAAATACTCAAATAAACATAACGAAAACTGAGAGTATCACTCTGAAAAAATAGAATTGAGAAGGAATGGCGTTAATTACAGACTGCCGAATCGCGTCCGCGAAGATCGGTACTTTCATCGGGGGCGCAGCCGTAGGCCACAAATTTTACTCGTAAATCGACCCTGGAGCCAACGCCTAGCTTCACCATGCATTAACTTTACTCAGTCTCAGAACTAGAAGCCGCAGACTACGCTTGAACTCCGTAATCCAGACAAGCGACACACTGCCGAAAGATAATAGCGCCGTAGGTCTTCAGCCACTGCTTAAGCATGCTCGCTCATGAGCAGGCAGTTCCCCATCCGTCTGTACCTACTCCGGCCTGACCTCTTCTCGCCTAACATATTCTCGCTGTCCCAGCTCACAACCTTCTTGCAGCCAATGACTGGCTCTACCAGCACACTTGGACCGCCTTTCTAACTTCTTGCAGCCAATGAGGTTAGGTTAGGTCCGCTGAGGTGTGTTTTGGGTGGAGAAAGGTTGCAGCTTGTATAGATTAGGCCTGAAGAGGTTAGGCCAGATGCAGTATGGCCATGTTTAGCTTTGGCAAGCTTATTTTGTGGCTGTGGACATCCGGCGCTATGGTTTTGAGCACTTGCTTTCATAGGCCGTTAAGCACTCTAGCGTTTTTTCCTATGGAAAGGAAAATGAACTAATCTTGAAGTTTGGCAAAGCTGGCCTCCGGCACGCGCCCCCTTTCACTACCAAGTTACAATGTCAACTCTGCTATTTAAAAACCCATGCCAAACGATAGGTATGGAGAAAAAGAATCAAAATGTTGAAAGTTATGAACGTCGAATTTCCAACATCATCAGCATACATTTACAAATGGACGGACTCAAAATTACATCTGCTGAGGTCATAAATATAAGCAACGAAGAAAATGGTGCCACGAGCGCTACTCTGCGGCATACCGCTCCTTACCGCCGCCCAATCCGATTGATTGCCTCTTATTAAGGCCCGTTTACACTAGGAGCAACGACATGGGCGGTGATGCGCTTGACGCCAGCGTGTTGCCCCATGTGTGAACGGACCTTAATTACGCAGACTCGTTGGCGTCGCCCAGTTAAGAAGTTCCTGATCCAATGCAGGACTGCGCTTCTTATACCGAGGGCTTCCAATTTGCTGAGAAGTCGCTCATGTAGTACAGAGTCGAACGCTTCCGCCATATCCAAGTAAACAACTTCGAAGTCCTTTCCATCATATAAATTATAGAGCTTTCGTCCAGTCCTCAAGACATGCCACTAAGTTCCATGAACACGATCGGCCAGGAACAAACCAATACTGTCAGTCCGATGAAAGATTATTAACTTGCAGGTGTTCCATTATCTTATCACGTTTCAGTGACTCGAGTATTTTACAAACAATACTCGTCAGGCTGATTGGTCTGTAGTTGCTTGGTTTACTCCTGTCGCCCTTCTTAAATAAAGAAGTTACTTGCGTTTGCTTCTAGGGCTCTAGGCTAACAATAGCTTACTTTCATTGAGCAACTTTCGAAAAATTAGAGCCAAATTAATGCTCGGCGACTATTGATGAATGTTCAGTTAGAACTCTCGAATGGAGTTTCTCTGGGACCTCTAGTTTATTCTGATTCATTCTCTTCGATTTATTAAGAACTTCAGACGCACCAACATCCGTGACCTGCAGTACACTAATGTCCTGCCGTGCAAGATCCGTGATCTGATAATAATCTTCCTTTGAATACACTAATGAAAAATCTGTTTAAAACATTAGCTTTCTCACTGTCCCAGGATACTCTATCACTGCCATCCCACAGATAGGCGATGCCACTTCCAGTGTTCAACTTTGCCCTGAAGTAGGCGTAAAAAGCTTTTGCGTTCTGTTTTGCCTTCGAAGCAACTGACATCTCCAGCTCTTTCACTGCATCCCTAAAAGCCTAAGGTCTGGTTAAAGTGCCAGTTTTTAAATCTATGAACAAGTCACAAAAAGTACAAGAATCGGCAACAGGTATAAACAGGCCTGCCTATTATTCAACACCGAAGATACTATCCTGTACTAATGCGTTTGAAATGGGACAAGTACGCTTATAGGAAAATTCTCAGTGACTGTTTCAGAATAATTAGTGAATGTTAATATAATTAGTGAATTATTACTATTCTACGAAGCATTTATCGTGGCGTCTGGTTCAAACGAACTTCGAGGGTACACTGAGAGAAATGGGCGGGTCTGGATGACCCACTTTGATGAGTCAACCGCGTCCGAAAATCGATGCGCTTTTTTGACTCACTTGCCCCATTTGTGGATCATACTGACCCATTAAATTTCAAGCATGACTCACTTGTGGCGTTAAATCGCTCTGACGCCCAGATGCTAACTACGTATCCATGCTACGGGTGGCGTCATAAGGGATTTGACGTCACAAGTGAGTCATGCCTGGAATTTAATGGGTCAGTATGACCCACAAATGGGGCAAGTGAGTCAAAAAAGTGCATCGATTTTCGGACGCGGTTGACTCATCAAAGTGGGTCATCCAGATCCGCCCATTTATCTCAGTGTAGGTCACACATATGATTAATAGCAAGCGAAAAATTGAGAGAAGATTAGAAGATCATCTTCTCTCTCGTTGAGAGAAGATGATCAGATGGTCATCTGTGAACACTGCGAGGATTTCATTTGCATCAGTTGCGCGAAGCTGAGCTCTGAAGAATACTCTTTCCTACAGAAAACAGAGTCGTTTCACTGGTTCTGTAGCGACTGCGAGAAACCGACTCTCCGTGCCA